ATACGTAGCGCTCAAAGGGCTACATAAGTTTGCCTTCTAGTAAAACTTTATCCTTCAGCCCTAGCAAATCCCATCTATCCTTTATCCTTTAATCAGATAAGTCTTGGAAATCCGATCCGGGATTGATGTAGTCTTCAACGACAGCTTTCTTGAAGCTCACATTCTGTCCTGTGCAGTGGCCATTACTGACAACCGTTTGACTTATCGTTCGTCGCCAAAGAGTTCGGCATTAGATTAACACGTTGACGACACGCCCTTGTGCGCAAACCTACTCACCTTATTTTACAAATTTGCATTAACAGTTACTACATTACCAATAATTTCATTAGTGGTAACGAGAGAACTATTTTTCGTATCCAACAGTAGGAAGGGCCAGTCTTGAAGCATGAAAATGGAGGCACAATTTAGGAAAAACAAGTCTCTTCCGTGTGAGAGTGCGGGACGTATGTGTCCCGCGCTGTCGTCAAAGTGTTAAAATTGTACTTGTAGCAGTTGTTACTAGATTATATGTTTGACAGTGAGCATCCATTATGGTGATCAGACTTTTTGTTGGCCCTTTTAAAACCGCCTGTGAGGTTAGTTCATTTTACAGTGGTTTTAACTTACTCGGAAGCTCCTGTGCAGTATTGACCTTAAGTTAGTACTTTGTTGTAAAAACAGCAGCCGTTGAGAACCGCTTTTCATTGGCAATTTAATTGTTTTCGAGAGATCTGGACACCGGATACTGCTGATGTGTGCTGAGACTACATTTTCTCTTTATAGCCCTCTTATTTTTGAATTATTGTCGCCGCGCTCTTCAGAAGACTACTTAGTAACTGGTTAACCAAATAACTCGTAAAAACAAAAAAAATTCTCAGAAAGTGATGAACCTAAATTTAACTACCAAAACCAAATGTCATTTCATTTGATGCTATTTTATGTCAGCTGGATACCTTATTTGTCTATGAATTAAATACCACCGTTACAAGTTAACAGAGGAGAAGCTTTTATAAATTTTATATTTTGTAACTGTAGAAAGAAATCTTGATTCGAAATGTGTGAAGAAAAATTCGTCGTAAAATTGGCAAAAATGCCTGACTCGCGCTGCGGGCTATCCTAGCGCGCTGAGGCAGATCTATTAAATAATTTCTAAAAACTGGACAATTTTTATGGCACAGTTTCTGAAGCCGGAAAATCTGAAAAATCATATGTCCATTATCCGAAACCCAGATGTCAACTCAATCCATAAATTACTGCAAGAGGAAGCGCATTTTCATGGGAAAAAGGTCTTTTTTTTTAATCTGTTCACCATGATCAATAGTTTTGTACAGCTGGAAGGGAGAAATGTAGATTCAAACGAATGGCAGCGATGAGTCTGGTTTACCCTACCCTCTCCTGTAATTCCTATTGATTTCTTTGTTGATTCAGCATATTCAAAGCGTATCGGGTGGCGTTCGGTCGTCAGTTCGATCTGTTTCAATTCGATCAATATCCATATTGTAGCCGTGAATGAGCTCAGCAGTGGAATATCACTAAAGGCATATGGAGATTATTCGCGATTCCACAGCTATGTAAATCTTCGAGCCCGCCCAGCGGTCATCTGGCACACCAATATCTCGAACTATTGTCCGCCATTCGAGCAGCACATTAGCTATGTTGATAGACTTGGATTTTTAGTCCGTTTCGACTACTTACTGCTATCATTCTGTCATGTGTTAGCGATTGGAGCCATAGGTTGGTACATTTTATTACAGCTCGTTTTTAGCCGCTTTATAAGGCGCGACCGTCGACCAACCAGCTGGTCTTTCTGGTCACAAATACCGTACCACTTGATGAATCGAAAATAAGCGTTGGCGTTTCAGATATATCTCCCTTATTTTATTTTACCGCTTATGTTGCAGTAAAAAATTTCATGAATGTATTTTTCTGCGGCCGAAACAATTCCCATCAAACTCTGCAACACTGAAAGAGCGCTGAACGGAAACAAGGGGTCTACACTGGCGTCTGCGATTTCGAAACACCGAGGCACCCCAGCAAATCACATATAAATATCGATTGAGACTTTCGTATCTGCAATTGTTAGTTACTTTCGGGTTCTATATGAATCTATGCTCAGCAGTCCATGCCATGTTTGGCACTATGTGCCCCCGGGCTGCCCACTCTGTAGAAACACCCCTTAGATCAAATTCACATAGCTGACAAACTCCGGGTAGGATAAAACTTACTTAGGCACCCCAGAATCGCTTTTCTCCTTTGAGGCGCAGTCCAAAACTGAGCGTTTCCATAATCTCCGAGCTGCCCCCCCCCCGCATTGCGCCCCGAGGCTTCCCTACCACTTGGATTGGGGCCACTACTCAACTGTAACCATTTGGTTTCTCAATCTATATTCCGCTTTGTAGCTCTATTTTATGTCATCTGAAATCCATCTGTGCTCACAACCCAATGATGCCGCAGCAGTAATAGTAAAGGAATACCGGAGGTGGGAAGGTACCGGAAGTGACAATGCCAGCCGGGACGGTTCTCCAGAAGGTGCTCATTCGATGTAGGAAGGCATTCCAAATAGTCACAGCAATGGTCTTGATGAAAAAAACCTTATTCAGTTCTGCCGGAGATCAGCTTGCAATCATTCTTTTTCCAAAAGTCGCTTTGTTCGTTTCTTCTTTCCTATGCACGCCCTCATAAATCTGCACCATATGACTCACTGCAGTCAATTCGGGCTCATATAAAAGGTTTTTCATACACATATCTCATTTAAACCTCATAATAATGCTATGTAAAGTCGATTTAGGAGAATTTTCCGAGCCGCATTGGTCGCATGACTAACTGTACCCCTGCCATTGCAATCGTCGTCGTCGCCGTCGCTGTCGTTAGACCATCACCATCGATTGCGCCACTGCTCCAGACGCTCCGACTTGGTGAATTCCGCTCTTCAACAGTTTTCCACCACAGTCAGCGTGATGCTAATGCCCTTGGAAAATTCGCACACATCCAGCTGTTCGTTTTTGCGGGGCAAATTTTGTCGCATTTTTGGTGATAAAACACAAAACTATCTGAATCAGCCCATTCCGGCTGCCCGACATCGGCCTCGGTTTCAACGAGGAGGTCTAGCAATGATGACGCGATCATACTGAAAAAACAGCTCTAACTGTTGCTCTTTCTTCTTTACTGTTCAGCTTCATATCTTCCTATCTGACTGACAGCAGCAATTTCTATAAGATGATTGATTGACCAGAATTAAGAACTATCCCATAGACAGTGTGGTAGATGGTTGGTACGAGGGGAAGCTGAGCAACAGCAGCAAGTACCAGCGCGGGCAGCAGCATCTTTTGAACATCACATCGATTTTCCGCAGTAAAAAGATATATCGTTTCCTCACAGACGCGGACACAGCTTCAGCTCGAGTTCACGTGTACGGGTGTGGGCCCCCTGGTGCTGAAGAATGGCGTCACGAGATGGAAGAAGCATCGGAACAAGATTAGCGCCATTGAAACAATCGTTGCACATTAACCCGGACATTGCACATGTGTTCTGTCTTGTCTCTCAGTACCAATGCCGCAGTTCTGTTGGTCTGCATACCAGTGGCAGCATTTCCACGCGATTTGGTTGAAAATGCACCTACCTGGTATGCAGACCATGTCTGCGTCTCGGCTATGGTGGTGATACCTCGTGAGTCTCTAGCGGCAGCGGCGGCGGCGACGGCCGACCGCCCCCTTCCCCCGTGTGCCGGCGCCGCCGCGGCCGCGATCAGCTGATCCGGCAGTGTTCGCCCGCCATCTCGCGTGTTCCTTGTGCCGCTCTGCCTGCCCCGGCCGCCCTCCTCGCACACCCTCGAAACTCTTCCCATTTCGTCCGTTCGTGTGTCAGTCAGCTAGCATACCTCGTCCTGAGCTGCTGTCATGGCTGTATGTGGTCAGCTGATGTGTCGGTGTTGGTGTAGGTACGTGTATGTGTGTGTATGTGTGGGTGAGTGTGTCGATTCGAGGTCGTTAGAGTGGCCGATGCGAGCAGAGACGGTGCCGCTGTGGTCGGCCAGGATGGCACCCACAACTACCCTCTTACTCTGTACTCCTCACAAGTTCATTCTTTTCATTCATTCATTTCGTTCATTCATTCACACGTTCGTTCACTTAACTTCCCACTTTTCTGCCACAATTTTATACGTCCCATTTCACCGCACTCATTCCCATCTACTCTTGATCGCATATTCCTTGAACGAACGGAAACAAGACGCACTGTGCTGGGTGGCAGTGTGGTTAGCTGGTTGCAGCCGGTGACAACGGCTATCAACACTGCCGTCCTGGCGCATGACGTTTCCCTCGGCCTGCCCTTCTCATCACCCAAAGTTCGCATCAACTCAACTGAACTTTGCACGAAATTAAACCTATTCGAACTGACGGGACATCTATTCGAACTGACTTATTCAACGAATGGATTTGCTATTACGTATTGCTAAAACTGCTATTCAGTTCTTTATTCATTCTGAAGGAACTACGCAACAATCAATTACAAACCGTCACGAACAGGTGAGCATCGTTTGATCATATTTAGACCAGCTAGGAAGCACCACCATATCGAGTAAGCCATCCGTGAGCAAGTGAACAATGGGGGGTTAAAAAACACGTACGTATAAGCACACGTCAAAGCATTCTAGGCGTGAACTCATTGACCAGGTTTCAGTTGGTCGCCAATCATGGCCTTCTGTGCCATTAAATCACTGTGCTGTCAGTGTAAAACTGTAAATTAGGGGAACAGGAACTGCCCAGAGGCCACCAGGGCGGCGGCGGCGGCGGCGGCGGCGATGGCGATGGCGTCGGCGTCGGGCTACTGCATTATGTGTCGTTGTTTGTGCTGCGCCTCTTCTCGATCGACGTTGGCGCAAGGGTTCAGTGGCTGTGGAAACTCGGGCGGCATTGTCGTGTTGGTTGTGCGTGTGGTGATGGGCATTGATTGGCAAAAACGGCTGACGCTGGCGCGATCGATCCTGAGCGCGAACACGCACACACACACAAACAGCATAAGAAAAAGCGTCACACGCATCCATAAACGCCGTTCGCTGGTCGCATCTGATCTGGGCCGCTGACGTCGTCTGGTTCATCGCGTTTGTCATCGAGCTGGACGTGGTCGTTCATATGAATGCGTCACGTCATCAGCAAATCAGTACGCTGGGCGACAGCGAGCGACATTTGTCGCGTCAGCGGCCAGGTGTCAGTGATGACTGGCCGACCTTCTTAGGAGATCGTGCGCCAACACGTGCATTTCACGAAACGCACACATACGAAAATAATCGAAGTGAGCCCAAATTATTCGATTTCTTGCTCGTTCTTGTAGAAGGTGGCCTCTAGAAGATGTTGGTGATGAACATATTTCGCTGCATATATTCCTTGTCTTTTTTTTTTGAAAGTGCGAAGCACAACAAACTAAATTGGGGGGGGGGAGCAAAGGCGTTTTTGTCGTGTTTACGACTTGCAGCGGTCTGTGTTCGATTTTTGCCGTCACACGGCGAGAAAGAGAGAACCAGAGAGCGTCATCATAGAATGGCAACTCGACCACCAGCGTTCACCTCGCCTATCGTGAAACATTGAAATGCCATAATTGGTGAGGGATAAAGTATTTGGTGTTGATCATTGCCACATGAGGTTGCGCCATACACTCGTCTTCCATCAAAACCGCAGTGGTACGTTGAATGCGATTTCGCCTACGAGCGAAATGAATCGAGTGCTTTTATCCTTCCCAGACAAGTATGTTGCCGATTGGACCTCACCGAAAAGTGGATTCTAAACCATAACAAACTTCGCTTTTCATGATGACTATTTGGAATAAAATTGCTGACCTTATTTACTTTTTCCCCGAAGATCTATCGTCCCGGACGTTCCTTACACCTCCTCTAGAAATTGGGACTACTGTATCGGCATGAACTGTTGCACCGAAATGCCCCCATTAACCACACCAACGTCGAGCTTGATTTGCCTGGGTGGGATAGATACGGGATTTAATTCCCTAGGCCATATCCTATCCTTCCCCTAGGGAGGAATGGGACGAAAATTCCTTTGTTTTTTTTTGTCCTCTCAAAAGACTTGCTCGAAGAGGGCCTATTTGAAGTATATTGCTGAACTCAAACAAACCTCAAAAAGGTTTTATCATTCCCTTGGCCTGGGAGAAGGACATGAAGTGGCCCTTGGTAAGGACACCAGGCCACACCGCTAAGCTGTTGACCTGCTAGATCGGCAAAGATGTGGGCGGTGACTGTTCTGCTTTTTCATTTTTATTTTGATTCTTTTAGTTTTGAGTGAAGCCTTCATTGAGTCTGTGGGGTTAGTGAGTGTTTCTGTTTAGTTTGGTGACTTTGTCTTATTCTTTGACTTCTGATCGAACCATCGAATGCTTTTTGTTGAAGTGCGCTCGCTCGCTCGACGGCCGCCCCGGCCTGGCTGCTGCAACTGCTTTTGTTTGTCGGTTTGATGATGAAATTTCAAGCAGACACATAGAAATATCGAACTTGCCTAGTTATTCGTTCGTCTCGGCGAAAATATTGCTATAAATTGGTTTTGAAGGCAAATATTTCTATAGCAACCATCATGGTAGTGGTTTTGGTGAGCGACGTTAATACAGTGCCAGTTTTGGGAAGCTGCTCTCACATATCCTTCTCGTGGGCGCTCGACATTAAAATTGAACTCACTAGTTTTCCTTCATCACTTAAGAGAATTGATTTGTAAGTTCGAGTTGAGAATGAGCCCTTTAATATTTGTGGAGGGTCTAAGATTCCCAAAATAAATTTCCAATGCTTTGTATTAATCTAATGGATTGCGGGTAAGTGGAGAATGGGGTTTAATTTGGAAATTGTTGGGAACTGCTAAAATTTTCCTCGTGTACTTAAAAGATGATAGCGTCCAGTCCATTAGGAAATCATATGAAAGGATAAAAGGATAAAGCATTTGCCGTTGATCAATCCCTTTTTGGGATGCGGCACGCATTCTACTTCCATTTGTACATTCGTAGTGGCGTTTGAATGCGATGTGGCCTATACAATGACTTGCGGGGGCCAGCCGATGTACAAGTCAGTGTTTTTATCCTCCCAGACAAGTCTGGTACCAATTAACCGACCCCGGAGGGATGGAAGGCTTGGTTGGCCCGGGCGACTCACGACCCAGGATTTGATCCCCGGACCGCTCGCGTGGTAAGCGCGCCACTTGTCACTACACCACTTCCGCCCTGAGGGAATTTTAGGGCCTATAAATCATCTCGTTTTTTTAGAAGTATAGGTTGAGAAGTCCTCATAGCTTCTTCAAGTCGAATCATTTCGTCACTTATGAAATAATACTTTGAATGATCCACGGCAGGGTGAGCCATGGACGTCGGACGCCCCGATAAGGGGTACCCCTGTTTGGCTTTTTGAGGGATGAAGAGGAACCGCATGGTGCGAAATCGGTGGTGTTTTTTCGAACGAATTGTTAAGGGTTTCATAACTAGTATATTGTGCCTCTCAGGAAGAAGATTTACAAATGTGTCAAGAATGTTCATGATTTCTAAAAGATCTGCGAAAATGTCGGATTTGTTTCTGTGTACTTACCAGGAAAGGTCATTTGGTCAACCCGGCCATTTGAAATGAGATGTATATGTGTATACGCGCCTTGGGACGCTGAGCTCAAATATGTGTTCCTTATCTGCTGAACTCTTCTCTGAAAGGAATTATGAAGCAGAAAAGCGCAGGGGCTGTGGTCGAGGCTCACGAAAAAGAGGTCAGGGGATCAACTCCCTGGCGAGTTTGTTCTTTTGCCGTTTGCAGTAAGATAGCTAGGAAGACTCCTAACATCGCTAGTCCAACATGCTTGCGTATAGTTAACAGTACAAAGAATTTAAGGGCAATTAATAACGAACTTGGGCGGCATCGCTCCTCACTACTTTGGGCGCTTGTAGCGCAGGCGCCAGGCATTTTTGCTTCGAACAAGTATGATCGTAATCAGGGAGCCAGACTCTCCCTTTGAGCAAACTTCTAGCGAATTCTGAAACCTAACCTCGAAAATTTGGGCAGTCACTTACTCACCGATCCACCAATCCATTACAAAAGGCTGGCACTTGGGTAGAATAAACCTTTTAAACACTTTTCATAATAGACAAAAATTGTGTCTGGCTTGCCCGTCTGCATCATCCAAAGATCTGCAAAGCATTATTTCCTAATACAACACCTTCTCTCCCCTTTCCCCGTCGTCCATGATTGGTCAACCCAAAAAAGTGGAGTTTGAGGAGTGGTAATCCCATCACTGCTCCGCTTTTTCTCAATTAGTTCATGACCTCAGATTTGGCGAAAAACTCGTTTTTAGGGGTAGTTTGATCCCCTGAATACGAATATCGTACCTACTTGCCACGGAAAAGCATAGCACCTGCACTACGGGCACCATGGGCACTCACAGACAAGTAGAGGGTCTGCTTGCAAACTCTTCGTAGATGTAGCGTCGGGCGACCGTTGATAAAATAACGGATTCAAAAAGGCTTTTCAGCCATGTTGGAAAAAAGCAAAACACCAAACCCGTAAGGGACCGAACCCGCGACCCCTTACTGAGAAGCAAGACCGCTACCAACTGCGCTACCGAAGCTCACCCACCGTGCCTCGGTTCTCCTTTCGATACTTTTATAATGCAGCTAACATGTGATTGCAGGCAAGACACTGAAAATCAAGGGCGGCAACAAAAACCCTCCGTAACTCCTTTCAGAGAAGAGTTCAGCAGATAATGAAAGCAGATTTGAGTTCAGCGTCTCATGCTGCGTACAGAAATGTGCACCTCATTTCATTTGGCCGGGTTGGCCTAATGACCTTTCCTGGTTAGTGGATAGCCTTGACGAATTATTTTTGGGAAAACTCGACACATGGCTCATCCCAGTTCTCTATTACTCATCCATAGGGAAAGACCATACTTCACTTGATTCGTGCTCTTTCCACTATCATCGTTAACAACTGAATCGAATCTGACCGAATCTGATGAAATGTTCGTACTCGTACTTAAAATATCACCAAAAAGTCAAAATTAGAAATTTATTCCATAAACTTCTTATATGCATACAATGACTGAATGAGAGGATGTTGTAAAGGAGATGATTGGGAGGAGTTATGGATGGAAATAAACTCGTTTTTAAAATCTGATTTGCCTTGCCTCCCATAGTTTCAAGCGAGGTAAGCGAACATGCACGGATTTTGTATCCTAGATAGAAAACCATCGACGATCAATTAAGAAAGCTACAGTAATCGTGAAACAATTAAGTCAAAGACAAGAGAGCAGTTTGTTAATGTGAGAGCTGGGAAAACATGAATGAAAGGGAGAGAGTGAGAATGAGAGAAAGAAATGATGACACATTGTTTGAATGGCAATCATTGACTATTCGTATGTATACATTAATATGAAGCATCATAACAGAATTTCGTCAGATGACGATGTGCTCGAGTTGTCATTTTCTATTGCCATATAGCGACCTAAATAACGCCGATTATTGATTTTTCCTTTTTTTTCTGAAAAGATGTTTCCTTGGTACAGAAACCAGTGAGAACACCATGAACGCCCATGAAATGACCGCCGTTTCTCTCGGGCCGCATGCTTGACTTGATTTATGAACAAGTTTACCGCGTCCGAAAAAGCGTATGATGACCGGGGAAAAAGCGCGTCAGAACTCGGCCGATGACGTGGGGCGCCGAACGCGGCTGCTCAACGCAACCCAACGATCTTTGATCTTGAACGTGAAATAAAAACCTAGCGACAGCCTTCGTAGAGCGCCGAAAAAAATTGCCACAAAAACGTACTACTGCCAGCAATGAGGCTAGACGAAGGAATAATTGTCAGTGTAATTGTTGTACGTCGAACACTTCCCAAAAACCCTAGAAACGGCAAAAACTTGAATTTATAGCGTTTGATTTCAGGTCAAAGTGTCACGCCCTCTCAATGGCATATGTTTGAATTCATGACTATTCCGTTGTATTCTGGACGACTGAGAAACATTGTTGTTGTTGTTGTTGGCGTTATTTTTACGATTTTCTTACGGTCTAATTTCTGCTTCCGTGCATTAGCGCGTTTCTCCCTCCCGCCGAGCTCATGCTCGAGCCTAGCATTCACGCAAACAATATTACTTTTTGAGGGGAAATTGCCTCCGCTTGCACCTCATTAGCAGCCTTCGTTGTTTCCACCGTGAATCTCGCAACTCTGGCTGCCACAGTTTCGTTCTTAGATGTTCACTACAAGAATGGCAAGGGTTTTGTAAATTCTTACCCGTATTTTCATTGCTTGGCTGTAATTCTATTAGTGCAGTAGTAGTAAGTGTTGTCGGCGTTTTGAGAACGTTTCTTTATCTTCTGAATAGAATTATATCAAATTAACACATCATACGGTTGAAATGAGTGAAACACTGTATTATAGGCGTGTTTGAATTTATGTATTTATTGTTATATTACAGTAATAATGATAGAATAAGCTGTTTGTTATAAATTTTTGGAGCGTATTTTTCATGTTTTCTCATTGAAGTAACTCCACATGAAGAAGTGGTTCTAAATTGCGGTCCTCTTTAGTAATACTATATCTCAAAACCTCAGTTGGCCTGAACTTTTTGTGAAGTAATTGTGACTCAAAAATATTTTAAAAGAACCCAAAATATTTCAAAACTGAAAAATTCCGAGGCTTTGCAGTATTTCTGTAGATGGATTACGTATTTTTGATGGAACTTCATAGTTTAAATTGTTTTGTTATGAGCGCAAAATTTGAAAATTAGTTAGTTGTCTAGCATTGATTAACCTTCAATTAATGACGTCATCACTCAGCTGATTTCATTTCTGCTGACGTTCGCACGCCCACATGAGACAGCCAAACAATAGCTTTTTTCGATCAGCAGTGAAAGTAGAAAAAAAGATTACTGTAGCGGGTTTTTCTGTGCAGTTGTTCACATTTGTCATTACCACGTGTAGCTATTAATAAAAGATGACCATATGTGTTTTATTGGTAATAAGGAGATGGTTCAGAGTTGTGTAGCACAAAATTCGTTCGTGTCCTTTTGTGAAGTACGCTAAACGGTTACGGTAATGCTGTTTCGCTAAACGATATCTCTTTTAGAGGTCGTGTTTAGAATATCGGTCTCAATGAAACGGTGACGTCATCTGAATCAGCAGATGAGAGTAACCTTAGACTAGTCAAGTTTTTATGATTGATAGTGCCTGGTAAAAGAAACCACGTAGGTTATCGGAGAGAAAGTATGAGACATATCGGTAATTTCACAAGTAGTTTACTACTTTTAATGAATCGTACCGGACACACTTCGAGTGTTGTTAGCAGCTCCGGAAATCGATAACAAATCGTCCTCCTTATTCAGGATTCGCTCCAATCGCTCTTTACATTGTCGTATCCGTCGTTCTTTCTGAAATCATTTGGCTAAATCGCTGACTCATGCTTTGCTGAACTACGCTGTGCTATGGAATTATGAAGGGCAAAAAAAACTATAATATGATGAAATTTGTGATTTTAAAGCGCATTTGTTGGATTTATAATCAAATAATACAAATGTGGTTCAAAACTATTTTTTAAGGGTGCTTCAAATTTACAAAGGTTGAAAAAGCAGATTAGGACAGCTATGTGTAGACCAACACTTTTATCCGCAATTTTGATCGATTCTCTCAGGATGCGCCATGCAGTTGTCTTTTACTCGAAATTAAAATACGTGTTTAACAGTTTCGCGTAGAAAATCTTTCCATTAGTATCACATTTTCAATGACATATGTACGTAGTCCATTCTATACGTATACATATCCATACAAAGTTGGACGCTTTTTGCCACGTCATGCGTCCACAAGGCTCTACGTTTTCGACGAACTGGCTTGCAATACACTAGACTTCAAGTCAAGCTAGCTTTGTACTTTTTGAAACATAAGCTATCCTAAAGAAATATTGACAGCGGACCCTGTCACTCGCGGAATTGTTAGGGAGTAGAAAATACTGAGAAACCTAGAGGTTTAAAATTCGTAAAATTGAAATTTTGAGCATTTCGCCGGCTCACACTGTTCGTGTTTCTCGAAAATTGCAGCGCTGCATTGAGTGTGTCGCTCGTGTTCTCCCTGTTTATAACGTTGCTCGGTGACGACTCCACCAGGACTTTAGGACTAGCCCGAATGGTTGGTTCTGTCTGCTCGAGGAATACTAGGCGGTGCATATCGTGCGGTCGGAGTGTATACGAAGGAGCCTGACCAATAGAACTTCGATGAAGTTTTTGGAGTTCATCCAGGTCCATCCCATTTGATGTGCCTTGCAAATCTGATCTTAGAAACGACGGAATGTGGGTGTCCAAGTAAGACCGCGCTGTGTTTTTTACTGAAAGTTTTTCTAATCTATATTGTCAGAGAAACTTCTAGTAACGGAAGTAAACATCCAACCTTCAGAAAACCTGGCATGGCATGAAGTGCTATCGAAGGTACTTAACTGAAGATTAGGTTTTTCGACTTCTTCGGAAGCCTGACGATAGCCTAAGACTTTCGGTGAGCTACTCGACTAATGGCAAGTACCTTGTGTCCTCCGACGCTACGTTAAGAACACGCCTGAACAACCTAATAATGAGTGTGTCAAAATCACCAAAGATCTCACCGCTGGTGGCATTTGGTCGCGTCCCGCGCCAGTTAAGTCAGTATGGGGTGAATGTGACTCATTCGAGTTCACTATGTCGTGTGAGTCAAAAAAGTGACGTAAGGGTCCCATCCGTTGGAGTTTGATCTGAGTCGTCTTACCCCTTTTCTTTGAGCAGTCTCTCCATGCTCGGGTCTCACAAGGTTGGTTTTCCGCTCTCACCTGGCTTGCCGGTTCCACGAGGGCTGTCGGTATACTCGTGTCGCGAGCTCCGGTAAGCTCCTATGACTCCTATGACCCCCGCTACCCCCCACTGTGGCACAAAGGGCACCATGTCGACTGGTGCGGGTGTTTGTCGTGAATTCCACTCGTGGTGGCCTTGGGTGTTTCTCTGTCCTTCAACTTTTTACTTTTAGAATTTTGGGCTTTTCCCTACTATGATGGCTGTTAAAGGCAAACCCCGGGATTAGCCCGACTAGTAGGAGGGATACCACGAGGGAAATTGTAAGGTCCGTACCTACCTAGATCACTCCAGCTTCGTCGCAAAAATTGCGCGGTTAGGGCGCTAATCCTTACGGGCCTGCAACCATCGACCCCTTTCCAACGCTTCCCACCCACCGCGAGAGGTGGTGAGATCAGCGTGCATTGATGTAGAGATCAGCGTGCTCTCTCAAACGACGTGCTCTCTCGCGTATTTTGTCTTCTTTGACCGCCCTTTCTCGCCATCGTACCTTAATTCAGCGTTCCCAAGGATTCTCTTGCTTTCCTTTCCACTTTCAGGTCGTTCCGCAGCTAAGCTATCACCACAAAGCGCTGATAGCACCTGTTTAATCCCGGAGTTTGCCTTCAAATGGTACAAGTTTGACCCTCTGTCTGCTTGTTTATTTAGCATTTATTCAGTGTTGATTTCGTGTTTACCTTCCCGTGTGTAAGAGCGCGTCATTTGGGCGCATAGATAAACAAATAAATAAATAAACCCAACAAGCTTAAAGGAATCTTGCGCGGAAAAATCATGATTCTATTTCAGCCATAAATCACTGGCTTGAGACTCATTATCCACGATAATAGTGAAAAGAACTGAAGTATTGCTTTCGTTTTGATTAGAAATTCGAAAACTCGAAAAGGCTGCTACGCGTTCGAATTGCCCACGGACGTCTTCACGAATGCTGGCGACGGGGATGCTCAAACTTGGTTCTTGGAGTGCATTCACTAGAAGCTCTTTCTGGCCTTCTGCTTCGTTGCATTCACATCTTACACTTCTACTCCATCCTATTCCATCGATCGATTTGTCTCCACTCTCCGAAATCGCGCGCTTTAACCCGATTCTCTCATTGCGTCGCCTGGTACGTAGCCGGCCAAACGCCGTCTTCTTTCCATGCCTCGCCTGGCTCTGCCTCCTGGTCCTTCGATGGTCCATAACGTGTAGTTTTTGTACGTTTGTTTCTCTTCAGAAACCGAATCTTCATGCGTGAAACTTTGTGTGCTATTTCCAGTGATCACAACTGACATATTCATGTTAGGAAAGAGTGCAAGAATTTTCCGCGCAAGATTCCTTTAAGCTTGACGAAATTCGCAGGTACTTGTCGAGTTTGTGGTACTACGAGAAAACAGTTCTGCTCATGAACGCATTTCCGGTGGTCTACCATGGCCAAAAGGCCGCTGTGACAATTCTCCATAGAGGGTCGTATTTGTATAGTCTTTCAGTATTCGTGATGGTAGGCAGTAGTTTGTAAAAGTTTTCCAAAAGGGTAGGGTCAGGGTCAACCGTCTGAACTGTTCGAACGAAGGGGTCGCATTTTGGTCGGAAGGGGGTCGCAATTTCGAGGACTGCCAGCCACAGGCGCGTGCGTGGCGTATCCGAGGGCAAGAATTGCTTGTGCAGACCGCATTAGATTTGATTTATTATGCACAGAGAGGCAGTTTTAGGCAAATTACGGTGTTTTCCTACGCAGTAAAGAAGTGTTGAATGCATCCTTATGAAAGGTTTGACTTCTCGGGGCTGAAAATAAAGTTCTTCAAAGACCTAATTTTTTGGGGCGCTTCTTCTAGAGAACTGTAATAAGCATGAGTAATTGCTCGTAGTCTTTTTTCAAAAAGTCTTTGCGTGTCGTCCCTTCCAACAACTTCTTTGAAGGAAGTTATTATTGCTGAAAGCTCTCAAAAACCTATGGGAACAAAATGTGTTCGAACGTGTGATTTTCTCGGAAAATGGATTTTGAAAAACGGTTTGGTGCTTGTCAGAAAGAGCAAATCCTGTACTTTCACCCATGAAAAAAGTGCATCAGAAATGAAAATGAAGTGAGTTATGCCCGCTTAAAGCCCAAAAACTCGCGATTTCAAAAAAAGTGTTCGGCAAAACCCCCCCCCCAAAAACGTTCGAACGTGTGATTTTCTTGAAAAATAAACTTTGAAAAACGGTTTAGGGGCTTGTTAGAAGAGCGAATCCTGTACTTTCACCCCATGAAAAAAGTGTGCATCACAGAAATGAAAATGAGGTGAGTTATGGTCGCTGAAAGCCCAAAAACTCGCTTTTGCACGGAAAATGTTCGAACGGTACAATTTTTTAAAAAGGTCAATCACTAAATTTTTATACGTTTTGATAGAGAAATATTTGAAGATATCTTGTATGAACTTTTTACAGCTTTCCAAAAGGTCGCATACGAAAGATATTATGGGCCTTTCAAAGTTGAAGGTGCGCCTTCTTAGAATTTTGGGTTTTCCACTTCTAACAGAGTGTACTTTCCGGAGAGTTAGGCAATCCTTGTAGTTTTCTGGAAAGCGCGCAAGGCCAAGGGCCGACGCGACGACGCGCAGACGCTTTCTGGCGCAACGGATTCATGTCTAGCACTCTTATTAACAAAAACAGGGGGTCGCAACTGGACCCCCTCGAGAGCTAGGGGGTCGCAAAAATCCCGAAAATGTTCGAACGTGACGGTTGACCCTGGACGAGGTCTGAGGAGGTGTCCCGCTGAAGTGGAACGGGAAAAGGGGCCGTTTAAACGAGTTTCTCTATGAATATGGCGAAAGTTTTACGAAAGATGAATGAAATAGGTTCTGATCCATTATCATATTTACTCCTCCCGGCAACTCTGACCACATTCCCTTCCAAAACTACCAACGCCTGCTAGACGACAGAGTCCGTATTTTTCCAAAAGTTTGCGATCCCACACCACCACCCTCAGCTTTAGGAGGCCCCTCCGCCATGCGACCCTCCTCTGCTCACGACTACCACCGCCCTCCCATCCTTGCCATCATGGCTTGCTACGATAGCATTTAATTTTGATACCAGTCGATACAGTCCACTTTGTCCTTAGAAACGGCGTTGAGCGAGCGAGGGGGGAGGGGAGTTGGGAGAAGCAAATGCAATAGGTCTAACGAAGCGGGGCAATCTTCCTCGCCTATTTGGCACCCCACTCACAACGTCAAACATCAAAAAAGCCCCTGCCAAACTAAACACGCCCCCACTCGACCCTTCTCCCAAAACGGTTGACCTTTCTCAACCCCATACGGGACCACACGCCCTCCCAAAATCGCAAATGCGACTCCCTCGCTTGAATAGTGTCAAAAGTGCGCAGCTTTAAAGGACGAATTCACGATGAAAAAGCAACCCATTTCAAATTAACCTAGGGATGGTGAGTGGTACACGAAAGAAGGAAGAACCATGAGAAACGGCCCAGAACCCGAGAAATGGGACCCCTTCCTTGCCCGTTGATTTGAGCATTGATGCGACTCTCATCGCTGTGCCCTCTTCAACACTACGCTCTCTCAGCTATCTAATCACTCGCCACGTATTGAACTACGGCGAGTGATCAGATGATCGGTGGGCGGAGATCGCCGGACCCGCCAGCTTTGAGGCATGATAGGTCGCCGAGGTCAAATTTTTCCATGCGAATTGCGCGTCAGTTCGCACCCTCAGGAGGTCCGTGGGTCCCTCAACTAGGTCAGTTTCCCTTTCTTCGACCTTCATTCTAATCGTGAATTCCTCCTTTAAAGGGGAGAGTGGGCGAAGGTGAAGTGGTTAACTGTTCTAAGAATCAAATGCAATAGAAACAGCTACCGTAGTGACGGTAATGGTGGGAATGGTGAAAGGGATTCGTGAGAGGGACTCTTTCAAAACTGGTGGTGGCGGTGAAGTGCGAGAAATTCTGAATTGGCACAATGGACGGTTTACTCTGGTTGTTACTAGTGTACGCAGCGTTTCGCCGGAGTTCGGCCAAAAGACGTGCGTTCACTCGAGGCGAAATTTTCGCTTAGGGTGTGGTCTGATGCGATTTGATATGAGGGGCACTCCTTCGTTAAACTATATATCAAACGAAGCGTGTTGAAGAACTGGTATCAAAGTTCATCTACTCTGTTGCTAGAACGCATTACTTGACAGTGATCGAATCGTGAAAGAAAATCGTTCAATGTGATAAGAATCGACCCTTTTAAGTAAAAGGGTATTTTCTGCATTATTGATGTGTTATCTCACGAAGGAAGCGTTAGAGGGTCCAAAAATGTTCACATTGTCGTCGACTTGAACGACGTTTTGAAGCGCGAATGAATCGCTCGCTTAGCTCTTGGATAACGGCATGACGTCTGCTCGGAATGCACCTGCCTTGCTCCAATTTGAAAGGGTAGGTTAAGTGCCACTCACTAATACACCAACATGCAATTTGAGAAGATTGTAAAGTGAAGATAATCTAGCTGAACGGTACCATTCTGAACGGGTCAGTCGGTCGGGTTTTCGATAACTAGAAAGTGATGGCTTTCGAGAAAAATTGATAATTCGCTTGTCCCGGGTAAGACTCCGTTCGAGATGCACTATCCCTAACGTCGATTAGTCGGTGAGTTGGTTTTCCGGTTGCTAGCAATGATGGCTAGGTTTTCAAAGGCAGTGCTTACGATAGGTCCTAGAGAGATTTACAGCGGACGAGGGGGTGCTCTCCTTCAAAACTCCTATATTCTTGTTGACATCACCTTCCCTAGCATGAACGACGTTGCTGCCCTCATTCGACAAAGTGAGCCTCACTATCTTCCTCCCCTCCCCTATGTCACGTTTTCCTTAATGGAGCCTTCACGTTGGGAGCACATCAGCAATGAATAGTGCTCGTTTCCAGGCAAGTACAAAGGTGTACTTATGCTTCACCTTCCTGTGTTGGTGGTTCGGTCCTTTTGCATTTTCACAATTATTCAAGATGTACGAAGAAAAGAATCACCTACATACCTCTGAACGATACTGATCAAGCAAATTCAGTAGTACACAAGAAGCGCAATTTGTGTGACCATAGGATCAAGCTCATGTCGTACTGGTCGTTTTTAAAGTATTATCTCGGTCCAGTATTAGGGTTTTTGTTTATATTGTGTATATTACACTTTTCTTTTCCCGAAGGTTCACATTCTCAATCAGCAAGCACTTTCTCCTCCTTTGCTAAAGGGACAATTTACCTCTTCAATCTGCTTTTGGAGCACTTCGTTTTCATGGCGAAGATGTTCGTACCGTTTCTGATCGGATTTTGAAAGGCCGCGTACCACAGTGTTGCCGTTTGGATGAACCTAAAAACACACATTCACTCTCTTAATGCAACCTCGGCTGGTAGGGTAATTTTTGCCAGCCAAGACAAGAAATTTGAAGAGCATCGAAGTTAATCTTTTCTATTGAGGAAACGTCCCATCTTCTACTTTCATCCAAGATCGCACTAGTAGCCAAGTTTTTCTTCGCCCAGTCAACTACTTCTACTACATCCTATTAACACGATCGTCGTCGCTCTCATTTGTGGGAATTCTGTAGAGTTACCTCTCGTTCAGGATCGCTCACCTCGTTTGGAACTCCCCATCTACCTTTAAACTACTCTTCATATCTCGATAACTATGATGTTTCGAAAGGCTTTTTATATGGTAGAAAGCAGGATAGGTGAACTAGTAATGAAAGCAAGGCTAGAGAAATCGAAGGTATCAAATCCTACTACCGTGAACAGAACACCAGTCGACATGATGTGGCCATAGCGGTAGCGAGTCCCTCAAGGATTGCGCCACTGTTAACTCTAGGATCAGCGATCAAGAGCTACCTGTTAGATCAGTGTTAGAGTATATTATCGTGTCGAAGAAATGGCCGCAGCATAACGAGGTCCTCTGATGAAGGCGTCAATACGACTCACCTTACTTCTACTCCCATGATCAACCCTCACCGGTAGATGGTGTCAGAAGTAGCGTTGAACTCCTTTCAAGTTGGCATGACACATTACAACTGCGCCCAAAAAATCTCCAGAACAGCCGGTAAGGGGAGATATAATTGCGGCTAAGACAGTAAGTTCCACACTCCACGCCGCCACTTCATTTGCCTGCCTATCTCGATTGTCCGCTTTTACGCCCCAAAAAACCGCAAAAGATCTCCTGCAGAGGAAAAAGAAGCCCCGGCGCTATCGCAAAATACGGCGACATCCTTTAGAATTAGGCGTAAGAGGGGGCAGGAGCTTCAAAGAAAAGAATCCTGATAAGTGGATATTGAAGTCTTTCCTCCCGCCTAAGGCCTAGCCCATTCTTACAAAAAGGAGATGTTTCACGCGGTTTTGAAGGAGTTACCACAATAATGCCCCCGTACCTTGCGATAGCGTCAAAAACACCTTTTTAAACCTTTCCGGCGCCTGACACCCATGGGGTGTCAGGTCCAATTTGCTTTCCTGTGGCCGCCTGACACCCATGGGGTGTCAGGGACTTCAAGAGGTGATTTTTCCGAAGGATTCGGTTTTTCGACAAAATGTTTTATGTTGTTACATACCTATGTAACATACTCATGCCATACGTATGAAAAAACCTAGACTTTAGTCTTAATCTAGTTCCTAAAATAACCAAAAACTAAATGGACTTCCACTTTGAGCTCAAAGAAAACAGTTAGTTTTCTTGAAAACACTTCATACGGAAGAATTCATAAAATCTCGTGCATGTCGTTTCTGATGCTATTGACTGCAGCGTTTCAGACATTTCCTGGTCCCTTTCTTCCCATTGAGGGCGGAAGTGGTGTAGTGGCAAGTGGCACGCTTACCACGCGAGCGGTCCGGGATCAAATCCTGGGTCGTGAGTCGCCCGGGCCAACCAAGCCTTCCATCCCTCCGGGTCGGTTAATTGGTACCAGACTTGTCTGGGAGGATAAAAACACTGACTTGTACATCGGCTGGCCCCCGCAAGTCATTGTATAGGCCACATCGCATTCAAACGCCACTACGAATGTACAAATGGAAGTAGAATGCGTGCCGCATCCCAAAAAGGGATTGATCAACGGCAAATGCTTTATCCTTTTTTATCCTTTTTAAACAAAATTGCTTCAAAAAAAGCCGTATTTGAAATAATTATTCAAAAATAAGAAATGTTGAAGGGGCACTATCCCACTACTACTACCCCAGTAGGGGTGCGATGGTTCAAAAATAATTTTGG